CCCGCCGCCCCCGCCGCCCTCACCGAGGCCCTCACGCTCCTCGAGCACCTCGCGCACGCACTCGGCGCGACGACGCCGGACAATGACGACGAGAATGCGCTTTGCAGCGTACGCAGCGGGGCTGTCGTGGACCGGATCAAGGAGGAGGAGGAGGAGGAGAGGGCCGTGGGGTAAAGGGGGTAGATGAGAGAAAGAGAAAAGAGGGGGTGGGGGAGGACATACCTTAGCGAGCGACACCTCCCACAATGAATGCCGTCGACCCCTTTAGAGCGCAAGATTTTGGCGACGGAGAAATTTGGAGGCGAGCCAAATCGCGACCCCCCTCCCCCTCAATCCAGCCTCAGCCCCGCGGCCCCCTCGCCACAGCCGCACTATACCGCCGGCTTACCTTCTACCCCTCTGGATCGGAGAAGAAGCCATCGTCTCCTTTACTTTTTTTGTTCTCTCTCCTCGCCCTTTCCTTAAATACGCGCTTTCTCGAGCGGATATATCTTATTGCGCGCTGACGAAATACGTTTTAGGAGCCAGGGGGGGGGGCACCCAGGCTGGCTGCAGCAGGGTGTCCGGCCCGCGGCTGAACCCAGCGCCCATGAGCGCGGCGGGCCCCAAAAAATACAATTCCATAGAAATGGCGACCATACACGTTTCAACGCGTGGTAGGGAAGAGGTTATTTTTTCATCCTTATGATTTTTCTTTCGCGTGCCCACATTCTCTCAGACCCTCCCCTCCTCCCCTTCCTCCCCGGGTACCTCTTCCGCCTCGGCGTGTGGCTGGACCCGCCTCTCTGCCTGCCGCGAACGGTCCTATTCAGAGAGGTGTGTGTGTGTGAGCGCGAGAGAGGGGGACAGGGAGAGGGATGATGGGGAGAGGGTGAAGAGATGGGGTTGGGGCAGAGAGAGGGGGTTTGGGGTGGGTCTTCCGGTGCCGCAATTCCGCATGTCCGCTGGGAATCCAAAACGAGCTTTGGGAAGCTGCCGTGTAGGGGCGGGCGGCGCGAATAGAATGGAGGACATGCTGGTCCTGTTTCTGGTCAGCCCGAGAAGCTGTCATCGTCATCGCCGTCCTCGCGGTCCCGACCCACAACCGGCGCGAGCGCGAAATACATTTCCTTGCTTATACCGGGTGTAACTGTCAATGCGCAGCAATGTTTCGGGTTTGCCTACTCATTACACCCGTAAGTAAGTAAAGGGCCATGGCCCCTGCGGCCATATTGAGTGTGAAATCCCACAACACTGCTGCGTATTCATAGTTACACCCGGTACACTAGCAGGCGTCTATATCTTTGCGTGCAGAAGCCGAAGAAAACAAAAAGGTACACCCACACGTTACGATGAGGGACGTGGACGCGGCGGAAAAGAGGAGAGTAGTAGCGAGAGGAGAGAGAACGAGGGAGACGGAGAGGAGAGCTGCTGGCCAAAAAGGGGTGCGTCCTCCCCCCTCCCTCCCCCCCTTTCCCCATCTTCTGGCTGGTCTGCGCTGCTACGCTACCCCCCAATTTATAGTGTTTTGCAGTTTGCAGCGGGTCAGCAGACACGACGAGAACAGGAAATAGCTCAGCGCGCGGTGCCAGCAGCGCGGCGGCGGCGGCGGCGGCGGCGGCGGCGGCAGCCTTCGGTTAAAGGGATCCTCGATTTCTTTCCCGGAGCCACCCCCCCACCCCCTCCTCCCTTTCCCCAGCAAGGTGGGTCCTGCCTAATCCTCGCTAGGCCCCGCTCATTACAGGCAAGAGGCGCCCTCTAGCGGAGCGACGCCCGACTGTGGCCGCCGGGTCTGTCTGTTTGAACTTGGCGCCGGGCAACGACGACGGCGGCTCTCCCCAGCCAACCCGTGGCCATGCCCAAGCCAAAACACTCTTCAACTTCTTCAAAAGGCGTTTGAACGACTAGACATCGGCAAAAATCTCACGCGTCACACAGCGCGGTGTGGAGCACCCCCCCTAGCCGGATATGCTGGGACTGGGACCGTACTGGCCCGAGAAAAACGTCTTACTTACTTGAATGTTCGGTGACCAGGTTGATAGTGGACCGCGGTGTGTTTTACCTAGTTTTCCGTCGAAGTGAAGCCTGCTGAGCCTGCTGCCGTCTACTGCTGCTCCAAGCCGACACCCGACACCGTACCGTGCTGCTGTCGGGATCGAGCGTCGTCGTCGGGCCGTTGGTGTAGTCGCAGCTCGGTCGCTAAGTTGTCCGGACCACTCGGCCGAGTGCTACTGTTCTTGCGATAGTGTGCCATTTGTTTACACCATGGCGCCCAACTGTGTTCTGTGCGAATTTCCCAAAAGTAAATTGAAATGCTCGCTCTTCCGGTAAGAATGTATATCAGTTTTGAGGGAGGACAGTGCTCGGCCGGAGGAACAAGAAGTTGGCGCTATCGGGAGCAGAGGTTAGGTTGTGCGTCGCGTCGTTAGAGTTCGTACATTTTAGTAGCCGACCTTTGCACCATGGTATCACTTGTACCAAGGTTTATCTTTAAATGAAAACAGCAGCCTAATAATGTAATTCGTGTCCGCACATACTAACCTGGACGACGACACCAGGACGGTCTTGGGCCGACGATCTCACCCAGCAAGAAATCGAATTCGATCGACGTCGACCGACGTCGACGTAGCTCGAAAAACGGAATTTTGACTGTGAAATCGAGGTGTTTGAGGTCGAATCGACATCGAATCGAGGTCAAAGAAATTTTCATTTCTGGCTGGGACACACCAGTCCTGTCATACAACCAAACGTGGTTATGGTTACCTGCCTGCGTTCCGCTCGGCTTGTGTGTGTGTGTGTGGGGGGGGGGGGGGCGATAACGATAACTTCTGCTGTTCTTCCTCCCGTGCACCCACCTCACGTCATGGAGTCATGGACAAAAATCAAGCAAGATCAGATTTGATGACATCTGTTTTGCGTTATTTCCTCCAGATTCCCACCGGCTGAGAAGGAGAGCACACTGCGTCAAAGCTGGTTGGAATACTGCGGTTTGACCTCTGAGCCCCGGAAAAGTATGTACCTCTGTGCGAATCACTTTAGGCGGTCCGATATGGACAACTTCAGCTCTAAAGTATGTCTCAAGCAGCGTGCCGTTCCATCTGTACCGCGAGAGGTAAGAGTATGTTTGCGCTTTTCCGCGCAGTTTAGTAGGCTATGGTGTGTAGGGTGTACCGGGTGTAACTGAGAATGCGCAACAGTGTTGCGGGATTGCATACCCACCAGGGCTGCAGGGGCCATGGCCCCTTACGGGCTAACTGGGTATGCAAACCCGCAACACTGTTGCGCATTCTCAGTTACACCCGGTACCAAAATGACAGTTTGAGTTTGAATTTGAGCATGTTTGAGTTCGGCAGCTCGGCTTGCGCATGGTTCCCGATCTCGAATTTGAAACGAACGATGAACGTGGCTTGTGTGAAATATAATTCGGTTACCTGACGTTCGGGCTAAATCCGAGATCGGGATCCATGCGCAAGCCGAGCTCTCACTTTTTTCTTCTTTTTTTTTCCTCTTGAGGTACTGCCGACGCCGAGCTCTCACTTTTATTTTGGTACAGCCTACAGTTTAGCCGCCTTTTAATTATCGAAATGCTACTAACTTTTTATACATGATCATATGCAAGAGAGTCGCTACGCAACGTCGAGGTTTGCAATAACTCACAATGGGTGTTCTTTTTTCATTCAATTTTTTAAAGGAGTGGATGCCTCTTGTACCTAAAAGAACAATTAGAACGTACGATTTTATTCCTGGATCCCCCGGCTGGATAGAGGTCCAGCGTCGTCGCCGCGCCATCCAACTGGACCTTGAACGGTCAAGGACAGCATTTAAAGAAATGGTGCACAAACGGTACGGATTGAAGATGGATTCACCACCACCACCACTTGCCCCCTTGTCCACCGAGCCCACCGAGGAGGCAATTAATTCTTCGGGCAACACTATGTCCTCAGCCCCACCTGATGTGAAATTAATTCCAACCCTGCCCATAGGAGATAAAATCAATATCGAAATGGGTGCTCAAAAGAAGGTGCGCATTGAAATAAGTATCTAAAATTTAGAAACGACGCGTTTTTCAGTAATTAAAAAAAACAAAAA